TTAAAACATTTTATATATATTAAAATTTTAATATTAAAACTTTACTATGCTATCGATTTTAATCTATTTTCTTTACGAATAAGTAAAGCTTTTTTTTTTTGCCTTTAGGAAAAATATGGGACTATCAAATATTGCATCTTATTGTTTTCTTTAAACAATTTTGTTTTTCTTATCAAAAAATTCCAAGAAAATGCAGACGAAAGCATCAACACAATTTTTTTCCTTTTTTTTTTACTTTACTCTTACTTAACGATTTTGCTTAAGGCAAATATTGTATGACTGATGAAAAACAGAAACAGAAAATGAGATAGCTTTGAATTTCCCTTGTATGAAGAAATAAAACGTTAACATCAAATTCTAAGTTTGTGTTTCTCTCTAATAATCCTCTAGAATGTTAGAAAATCACTACCGTGCTGCCTTATAAATGAATGGATGATATATTACAGAATTCCTAACTTTGCATAATGGAATTAACAGTATTGGAGTAAGATAGATGATTACAAGAATCTTAAAATATGTTGGATAATATTGGAAATTTAATGCAAGAATATTTATTATTAGAGAAGAAGATTTATAGATATTTAGCAAAATTAGCATATATTTTAAGAAAATTAATAATAATATTTAAAATTTAAACGTATTATTTTTGTAACAGAAATTTCGTTAGAAATAGTGATGATACTCGAGCATTTAATAGAATAAGAAAAAAAAAAACAGCCAATAAGAAGAAACATGAAATTCAAGTGGAAAATCTGTAAACGAAAGATGAGATTGAAAATAGAAAAAGAAATTTAAAATAGGAAAAAAAATCTAGAAAATTATGAAAACCAAAACGCTAAAAAGTAGGATGGAGAAGGATAACAAACTCCTCCGAACTTATAAAATAAATATTTTTCTTGACTTATAAATATATAACTTATTAACTTTTATTGAAGTACACTTATTCTAAATAATCTGTTAGGAAAAATATTTAAAACGCAATTTAAATTTTAAATAATATTGATAAGCATTAAATAATTCATTCATAATATATATATATTATCTTGAATCGAAATTAAAAACAACAGTTAGCAAAAACTAGAGACAGAAAAAGTAAATCTTAACCTTTCAATCAAAGCCATTTTGGGATTTATATACATTTTCTACAACTCCCTACATGACCATATTGTGCTAATAAGAAATTATACTTCCGAAGATGATCAAAGGAAAACATACTTGTTTACTTACCTTGCTGTCCCTGTGGTGTAGTTTGGTGTCTACTCTATTTTTATCCCTCTGGTAATACACCCCGGCAAAGATGAGAACGTTCAGAATGAGAAGTGAACAGCCCACGGCTATCGTCACACTCAATGCTGTGGAGTACGTGTTATGCTGAACAATTGTAGACACACTAGCCGTGGTTACACTAGATAAAGTGTTATAGCCGGTAGGGAAGGTTGTAGCTCTTTCTGTAGTCCATGTTGGTTCCGTATATCTAGATATTTGAACAGTGCTACTCGTCTCCGGTAGAGGAGTGTTTATCGGCACTATTGTTGACATAGAAGGAATAGTGAGAGACAGCTGTCTTACTACTCCATCATAAGTTCTCGGATTGTCATGGTCTTCTAACAAATGATGCTGAGGAGCAACACTTGAATCCCCAGCTCGATGAAGTTTTGGAATAAGATGTAACCAAAAAGAAAGCCGGTGTGCATGATAGTGATCTTTTACTTTGGGCTTCATAGCTGAAAATAATTTTTATTAATTACAAATTATGTAATTTTATTTTATTTAAAAAATCGTTCATACCGATCATAAGATATCGCTGGTGTATTTTTTCGTAGGGTGGCCAAACTAATCTGTCAAATCTTCCTCTCGTTTTTTCTGGAGAACTGTCAGGCTCAGTTGGAAGTATATTGGGATCTCTATCATAAAATTTAAATTTTATGAATAACTCTATTTACGTAAATTTATTAATTAATATAAAATCAACAGAAATATTATCCACGTTAATTACATCTTATGTATTGTATATTTTAAATAGAAAATTCTCTTTGCTAAAAATAAAACGTGTTAAATGGTTACAAATTTACAAATTCCGATAAAAATGATTGATAAAAAGCAGACAAATCAGATAAACCATTTGTAAAGTTTCTTGTTTGCAAGATATTAGAATTGGAAAAAATCGAAAGGAACAATTTCAGTGTGACAGATGCTTAACGCGTAAAATCTTTCTAAATTTTTTGGAAAAAAAATGACATCGAAAAACGAAAGAAACATATCGAACTTCCTTTCTGCCAAGTGACGGTCGTGGGTTGAAATTTGAGACATCAACATCTGTTAGACTGAAAGATATTTGTATCAAAATCACGTGATAAGGCTATAGTAGCAAGTACAGCCCTAACTTTCCTCTCCGATCGTTTGTTTTCATTTTCTTCGCCATTCGAAGATTATATAACTGTATTCCTTTTTGTAAGGCTGCGTGCCAACTTTCTGACGGCTTCTTGAGATGGCATACCACAACTTCCCTCTTAAAACGTCCACGTTTTTGTCAGTTTATACTTTCAATCACATCTTAAACGACTGGATTCACATACAAAACAGTTATGCAGAAAGTATGATCAAAACAACCGGACAAACGTAGTATTGTACGTCAAAAGCTTAATGTGGCGTATAAAGAATGTATCTTTATCTTCTACAACCATTTTTAACTTCGCAGTTTCCTTTTACAACCCATTGTTAATTTTAAACAAGATGGAAGAGTTAAGGTAATTTATATAATTCACGTATGGTCAGTATACGGTTATAACAAATTTTTTTTAAAGTAATAAACCTATCGACGAGTACGTATTATATAGAAGTAACGTAATTTTTCAATGCAACATCGATTATTGCGTGTTGGAAATAGCATAAAAAAAAACTTTGATCAGTTTTACTACCTCATTACTTACTAGTAAACACGCAGGGCATTTACCGTAAAGTTCGTATAAAGTAGAAAACCTATAAAAGGAAAAGTTTGTTTTAAAGAGAGATTTCTCCGATGCCAGGTGTTGGAAGGAATTACCTTAAGTGCCTCTGGGTAGACAACAAAAGGAAGCAAACAACACGAGTCATAAAACTGAAGAGAGAAACCGTAATCTGGGTTCCTGGTATTCGTCTCAAAAAGTACTATCGAAGTCTAGAGAGCAAAAAATAAAATAAAAAAAAAATGCATTTATCTTGACAAAACTCAGCTACCTTGTCGATACGTCCTTATCGCGATGGCAGCTAACTCTATTCTACTTTATCCTTATGTGTATTTTTTTCTGTTATGTTTTTGCTTCATATTTTTTAGTCCGGTCCTCATCTTGACATATCACATGTTAATCTTCTTTCGATTTACCACCTGGTGGAAGTCGGAAATTTTCTTAACTTTCTTATTTTTTTCATGTCTTCCTAAAGAAAATTTTTTTATTTTGATGTGTTCATCTTTCATACAATTATGACTATTTGTGTTAAGTTTTTATATATATATAACGATATTACTCGATGTAACTTTTTCAAAAGTTTCTTTGAACTTAGAGAAGTAATCTAAAAACTGAAAAAAGATTTGTTTAAAATTGCATTTGAAAAAAGACAAAAATTTAAATAAATGAATTACTGTATGATATATTGTTAAGACGTATTGTAATGAAAGTTTTGCAGTAAATATTTAATTTTATTATAATATAATTGAGAAATATTGAAAAAGATACAAAAAAAAAGATACACTAAATTATTCAGCTCACTCTCAAAACTAAAATAATTTTTATTAATTACAAATTATGTAATTTTATTTTATTTAAAAAATCGTTCATACCGATCATAAGATATCGCTGGTGTATTTTTTCGTAGGGTGGCCAAACTAATCTGTCAAATCTTCCTCTCGTTTTTTCTGGAGAACTGTCAGGCTCAGTTGGAAGTATATTGGGATCTCTATCATAAAATTTAAATTNATTGTTTACGTTTTATTTTCTGATCAACAAGTAAAGATGATACACGTATTTTGTATTGTGTCTAATGTAATTCGAATTTGACAACTTATACCCTACTTTATCTTTTAGTTGCTCTCATGTCATGTTATAGCCTAAATATTTTATGGACGAAATTTTTATATATATGTATATATATTGTCATAACTCGTATTAATCAATAATATATCACATAATCAAAGCTACAATTATAAGAACTATCAAATTACATTACCATCTTTAATTTCTTATTAAGATTATTATAAGTTTAACTCTGATCCAAATAGCAAGTTGCTGAAAGCAGTTTGCTTAAGTTAAGGCTTGTTTGCTATTATTATTGTAAATTATATGTTATATTATTACTCTATATCTTAATATTATACAGGTATTGTTAGATAAACCATGTTTGTATCTTATCTGGTAACTAGTAAATCTTCACAGCAATTCAAAGAATAAATTATATAGTATATATGATTATTGTCATCATAAAAAGAAATGTCACACGTGAGTAAAATGTAATTTATTATATTATCATATAGGAAAAAATTTCATATATTTTGATATATTCTAGAGCTCGCCTTTTATAATATAAATTTACAATTAACATTGATAATATAACAATAGTAATAAAATAAACCTCTAAGAAGCTAAAAAGATCGTTACAGGATATTTTTTTTTTTTAAATTACAGCAGCAAATTTGTATCTTATTGAAACGTATAGCATTAACTATTGATAGTTTAATATATCACAGTAAATTTTTAAAGCCATAATAAAACAATGAATATTTATCTTCACTGATATAACCATTCATATTACATAAAGAATAATATATACCGATCAATTTACAAAATTAATTATCCATCGGGACCATTACAAAATCTGTGATGAATTATTTTTCAATAGATTTCTTTCAATATGCTATCCATCTTTTCACAGAAGTATCGAAAATGTTGAGAAAAATTCCGTTGTATTGGAAGAGAAGGTAAATTGTGAATCGATGCTTCATTACTGAATGTATTGACTGGACAGAAAGGAACGTCACGGTAACGACATGTGAGAGACAGATAAAGAGAATTAAAGCTTTATTTTCTGGTAATCATTGAAACAAATCTTCGTTTGTGTTAAATAATAGAAATTTTCGATATTATTATAAAAGTCTTTTCAAATTATTCAATTTATTCTCATAGCAATAAAATTAATATTTTTGATCATTTTTCTTTTATGATGTATTGATGTAATCAGTATAATAATTAATTATACCATTATAACTTTAAAATTTTATTCAAAAATTAAATTAATTTAACATACTTTTTTTAAAATAATTAATCTATTTATTGTTCTTTAAAGCATAAAATAATAGTAAAAAAATACATCTCAAAGGGATAATTGTTTCATCCTTCGTAAACTTTCTCAAGGCATTATTTTTCATTAAATATCTCACAATAAATTTTTAATAACTTTGAAAAATTAATATAAAATAATTATCATTTTATACTAATTAGGCATTTTAACGATAATAATCTTAATTATAAAAGATTTAATAAAATTTAGGAATTTATTTGAAATGTACTGTGAAGCCAGTCGAATATATTATGTTGAATGCTTAATTTTACATAAGAATATTTCATGTGAAATTGTTAGGAAAGAAAACAAATATTTTATTCTGGATAAGAGTTTAATAAACCTGACGAATTCATTAGAAATATTAAAATTTATCATGAGTATAGTTTTTAATAAATTCTTTAGTAAAATAATTTTAAACCGTATTTTTAATATTATCATCTAATATCGAAAACAATTGAATAAAGTTATTTAATAAAAATGTTTGAATAAAATTTAAAACATTTTTCTTTATTATACATATTAGAATTTTATAATTATAATAATAATAATAATACAAAATATAAATTTAATAATNTGTAAAATCTATTGCAAGACCGGATTAATAAAATAAATAATAAAATAAAATAAACTTACCCATATCTAGCAAAATTGACCCAATACGTCATAACTGCTTCGGATAACGCAACTTCCGCTTTACTATAATTATGTGAAAAATGAAAAAGAGAACCAAGAAGAGGTGCACCAAAAACGTAGGATAAATCCTCACCGTGTATACAACCTAATCTCTGATTATAATCACCAATCTCAGTCTGGTAAGAAAATACATAAGCAAAAGTTTTGGCGTGAACTGTAGAATGATAATTTCCAGTTCTGAAAAGAGGTGCAGTGATCAAAGCATCTCCAAGTGCATCGACTGTACCATCCAACACATTGATCGGATGTTGCTCGGGTCTAGTCCAGTCGGTATATTCGTTGACAATAGTCAAGAATATCTCTTGGAGATGATAAGTAAAGAGATTTCTTACTAAAGTCCGTAATAGACGATCCCTTCGATCGAGTTCAATGCCAAATTTATCTTCGTGAGCGGAAAAGTGAAAATAAGACTCGATTCTTGTAACACCAAACAGTAAGTCGTAATGACCGTACAATTCACCGTAGTCTTCAATAGCTGTGGCCGGATCATCTACCACCATGATCCCATCAATTGTGGGTCCAAAGGCAGTCAGATGTTCAGGTACCATCAATTGTACCCGCATGATATCGGTTACTGGTCTCTGTCGCATGCATTCTACTAAAGGTAAACTTTCTTCCGTTGGACAACCAAGTATTCTAGCCAAGTGACGAGTGTAAGTGTGGGCGTCATGAGCAATTGACCATGGACTCAGGGCAGATCCACTTTGCAGAATTGCTCGATGAAATAAACCTGAAATTATTAGCAGAAATTGCCAAGTTAGAAAGTATTCAAGTGTTTAAAAGTTTTAAAAAAGCATAATTTATTTCTCAATGTCTTATTTATTTAAACTGTGCTAAGATAATAATACATTAATACATAAGATAACATATTAAAAAACATTGTATATTTCAATATTTTTAAATAATCAAAGTTTAAAATTATGACATTTTTATTTAAAAAATCATAAAATTCTTGTCTTTCAGATCAAAAATTTAATTTTAGCAATTAAAATTTAATAGGAAAGTGAATAAATTTATTCGTGGAAATAAAACAAAACATAAGCAGAATGCGTAAACAATTTTTATTGTAATTTTAACAACTAAAAATTCTTAGAAAAAGTAATTCGATAACCAATAATTCATTTAGACAAATGGACTTTAATATAAATTTTACATAAAGATCAATAGCAGTTAATTCAATAATTGCGATTGAAATATAGTGAAATTTCTGTAATAATTATCTGCATATAACTTATCAAGCTTTATTTTATTATATAGGATTTAAGTATCCATTATTGGATATGACGCTCTTTGCTACTCTATAATCCTTCTTGGCATTTATATTGTTATCGAGTTCACATTTCGTATAGTAACATCACATTATTGTCTAGATACACAAGCCGAATGTCGTGTAAATTGTTAGCAGTTATTCACTTTACTCTATCCTGACTGTTATGAGTATATTAGAAGTCTTTGCACGCTACTACGTCAGAGAATTTCTCACATAGCCTCATAATTACCTACCATCTCGTTAGGTCACGAATAATGTCTACGCTTTATTACATTAATGTTAATCCTAGCATCATTCCGATAGAGGGTTAAAATTGTCTTAAAATAAAGTTAACGATGGTGTTTTGAATACAGTTTCTCTTTTCCCGTAAAAGATGTTTATTATAAGATAACAACCAATAATTTGTTGGAAATTATAATTGTAACCGTTTTTTATAATCAAAAATCTATATGTATATATCTTATTTGCATATATAACTTTTGTTAGTGTCGGTAAAACTAAATGAGTTACAAACGAATAGACCTAAATATCGAAATTAATGTAATGGGATGTTGATTTAACTATAATAGTTTATTAAATAACTGAACTGATTGTCGGAAGAAAGCGTGAAATCGCATGTCTTCCACCACCAGGTTTCGGATTACATTCTAGTACGTAGCTAATTCCATCATTTTCCTCCCTGGTTCGCCTCTTAACGTCATTTAAGAGGTGTTAATGTATTAAAATACATCCTAAAATTTATAATTTGAAAAAAAATTTAATAGACAAAATAATCTCTTCTTTTCAGAGTAAACGTCAGAATATATTACAAATATTTTCACATATTGAACAAAGTAACAATTGTAACCATATAAAAATTTTTAAATTATTTTTTATATCTTCCAATTTTAATATTAAACTATAAAAAATTTTATATTTTACATAATGGCGTTAAAAAATGCTAATAATAAGCAACTTTTTACATAGATATAATGCTTAAAATAACTTCAACAGATTTTTATTTAAAACATTTATATTTTTTCAATGTTTCTTTTTTTTAAATTGGTACTAAAATTTAAGTATATGCAAAAAAGTTAATAATTATAAATTTAATAATATGCTTTATTTTTTATTAACGTATATCCAATTTAATTTAAAAATTCAAATTAATGGAAAGAAATAATAATAAATCAATTTTTATAAACATATTTATTGACTTGATAGCTATTAAACAGAGTTGAAAATGCTATACACTGATATTTTCATTTATGTTATAAGGTTTATTAGAATTTTTATTTAACAATTTAATAGACAAAATAGATTATTGTAACTTATATAATGATGAAAAGAACAATTAAAATTTATCTTTTTTTATTTCTTAATAGCTTATTTATGTTATAAATTTAATAGCTTTGTTTATAAAATGTTTTACATCACAATTTTATTTAATACTAAGTAAAACTTTACACGTATATATATATATGAAATTATAAAGTCTATAATACTTAATAACTTCATTAATAAATACGTAATTGCATAATATAGTATTCGTAATTATCTTAAAATATTTTATCAAAAGCAAAATTATTTATTAATATGAGAAAATTAAAATTAAGTTTGTCACGGAAGATTATTTTTATTTTGCTTTCATTAAATATTGGAGTAATTTTTACCTTGTCAGTATTTCCATCACTATCAGTATCATCGTTACCTTTCCTACTTTCATTAAGTATCAAGGCCATCGCTCACGTCTATTTCTATTACGTATCGCATCTCATTCTATTCCATTAAGTATTAAATATAATAGCTTACTTTCCTAAGTTGTTTATTTTCCTAATTATTAGAGTCATCTTCAAATAAAATTAATTAAATATTGACTTCTATAATTACTGTATCCAAAGAAATAATCTCTGCCAATCCATCTAAAAAAGTTCTTCTTTTCTAATTATTTTAATACGCAATATCATTCTTAAACATGTTAAAGATCCGAAAATGGAACTTAATAGTGTCTAAAATAAAATTAAAAGATCGGTTATTTATATATTAAAAATAAATAATCAAACTCTTTAAATTTTTTAAATGATCGTTTAGTTTATATACTATATATTTATATTTTACATTATAATCTATACTGAATATGATTGGAAAAGAGCAACAGGATAAAATTACATAGAAAATTAATGAAACATAATGCTGTATAAAATATATGTCATGTGGAATAAATGACGTTAGCATAGATAATCCATATACATAATCGATAAGTAAAACATAGTGCTTAAAGTAATCCCTCTGAGAACGTCAAAAAAGGTAGGACAGCTATCAAATTTTAAGTCCCTTCACTGTTGAATGCATTTGCCTCTTCTTGTATATAGAAAAATACTAAGATTCAATGGATTTCGGGTAAGATCGGATGGCAAAGATGAGATAAAGCAACAAACTTTTATATTATTAATAAAATAATATGTTTTAGAATAACAGAATAATAATATATTTTACTGAAAGAATTTTTTTTTTTTGTAAAATTGCCAAAATTTAAGCTTCGTCGAGCATGACCCAGCACGTAGAAGAACATAATAAGTTATTTAGTCAGGATTGATCTGGACAAATGAACTTCTTGGAACCGCTTTCACATACAAAGTAACAATTAAATAATATATGTTTGCAATTTTAAAAATTATCGAAAATGTCCAGTTTTGATATATTCTTTAATTACAGGTTAACTTCATAATCAAAGGTAGTTATCAAAATATATGTTATCTCAGTGTTGTACTTTTCGCAATCTCTTAAATTCAAACGCAAGATGAGTTGATAGCTATTTGCCGAATTGAAAGGAATGAAAAATCAAATCTTAATGACTACCTCCAAGCTGTTCTGAGCAATAACCTTTAACTCTTACTTGACATAATGACAGCATATCATGTCTCTATCAGAAGAGCAAGGATTCCATTCACACTAAATACGAAGTCTGTTCTTTCTCCTGTTGGACCCCAGGGTAGAAAAAGATTTATTAGACAAAAACGAACCCTGACTTTCTTTGTACGTTGTACTCGTTATACATCCTTTCTAATCAGTAAACTTTTTAATAAAGGATCATATAAGTTTACGCAGATTGTGAAATTAAAATTTATTGTTTTAATATCCTAAAATATTTTTTCGAGATTATAATGAAATTAATTATCGTATCAAATCATAAAAAAGTAACTTTAACCCATGTAAATAGCTTTGATTCGTAAATATTTCAATAATAAAAGCTGAGAAATGATGACATTTTTTTCGTATTATCTGATCTAATAACATACTTTTTACATTCTGTTCTTGTTATTCAATCACAACTCCAATTAAACTTATTAAGAAAAATATGATAATAAAGTTTAAAAAAGTATTTTATCGAAAGATTTGTTTACTAATATAATTACTGAACTATATTGGAAATTGTTAGATACATAGCCAAATCTGTAAAAGAAAGAATCTTTCTTATATTTACATATGATAAAGATCATAAAATAATGGAATCTAGAATATCTAATAAATAATTTTTCCGTAAATTTCTATGAGATTTTCCTATTAACATAAATTTGAATTAAATTTCATATCATTTTAGAATTTTTCGAACTTTCATATTTAACTTCTATATTACTTAGAGTCAATGTTATTCAGATATTGGGAAAACTACGCTTATATTCCATGCTCATTAAATTTTGTTTCGTTCTTAAGGATAGCGGTTCTAAACCTTTCTGAGGTAGTCGAACAACATTCATATACTTTTTATTATACGAGCATTAGCATCAATACATTCAAAAATCGATTGGCAATTCCATGTTTACTATTCTCACGAAATAATAAAGCAATAAGCTAATAAACTTTATCGTATTGAATAAAATAATAAATATGGAATTGTCTAGAATAAAGTAATATGTTGTACTACGTTGGAATAAATTCGCAATAAAAACTTTAAAAGAATTTTTTTTTCGTGGAACACTAGGGGCAATTTTTCTGAACAGAGTTTGAGAATCATTGCTTAAGGTCATTGCACTTAAGTATGGGCTCAAATTACTCTTTTATATACATGACATTGATTATTTTTCAATTACTATTATTATTTTTTCTATTATTAAATAAATTATATTTAAAAATTATAGCAGCATTCGGGATAACATTAATTTTTAAGTTTTATGAATTTACGAAGAGATTTTAATTTATTAATAACGTTAATTCGAAATAAAAAATAAATATTCGTTAAAATAATCTAAAAATAAAGAAGAATATACAAGTTAAAGTATAATTATTATATTTTAAGAAAAATTATCATTTAATATATACGTTAAACTGTGTTTACTTTCAAGTAACTAGTGTAAAACAACAATTCAGAAAGTTTAACTTTTAATAATGCTTTAATTAAAGCTTACGCTAAAGATAACATACTAGTTACTAAAAATATAAAAAAATAACATCATAAGAATCAATTTTCTCACATAATTATT